TCATAATATTATAAAACTGTCTGTGAAATATACAGGGTGAATTTTTAAGCATGCTCACCCCCACTTTTCCCAGATTTCAGAATTTTCAAGAAGACATAAAGACCATATTTTTTGAACCATTAAAGCAGGTATCCTGTGGTGATATAAACATCTATTTTTCAAATAATAACCCCCCTTTTTTATTAAAAATTATTTAGTGGATAATTTTTTTGAAAATGTTGGTGTATTTAAATCAAAACTCTAATGAGTAGTTTCTAGATCATTAAAAGGTTTTGATTAAGGATAATAATCCTTAAAAATGGTTTTATAAAAATAAAAATATATGTGGGTAATGTTAGATTTAGTATTTATTATACTTGGATAATTTTTACAAATTATTTATGTTGATAAATCAATATTAATTTTTAACTTTTTCAAATCGTCTAAGCCCCCTGTCTACTTAACACATTACTATAGAAATATTATTCTAAAGACACTAAGTTACATAACTCAAAAACTACTAACTTGCATTTTGATTTAAGTTCATCAAAATCAACAAAAAAAAAATCTATTTCATAATTAAAAACGAAAAAGGGAGTTCCTATTTGAAAAACGAAAGTTTGTATTGTCCCAGGATCATCCTTAAGGGTTAAAAACAATTTACATGTTTCGAAAAATGGTCTTTAATTTATCTTATTGGTGTATTTAAAAATTCCAAAAATCTGAATTTTAATTTATGCATATATTCAAGCACAAAAGTAGGATGAAGAATGTGCACGACTTTTGAATGCAGTTGGAAATATTAGTTACTACAATATTATTGGTCACCTATACAAGTTAAAAATGTAACGTCGATGTGAAATTATTTCTGACAATTTACTGGATTTGGAAACAGTTATTATACACTTGAAAATTATAATAACACTACGTATACAAAGCGCGTAAAAATATCGTAAATACGATTTCGTGTGTTATAATATAGTGTAGGCATTTTTTAACGAAATCATTTCACGGTTTTCACATAATATTATAATTATGACATTCCGAACGCAATTATCATCGTAACATAATATAGACCACAAGCGCGCACACACACACACACACACACACACACACGCATATATATATATATATATGTATATACATATTAATACGACGTCATTAATAACGACTCATTATATTACTGTAACATGTTATATTGTGCTTAATTATTATCGTCGAGACACCGCGAAGTGAGTGAGAAAAGAAAAACGAAAACCATTTCGGTGGGATTGTTTTCAGGCGAACACGCGGTGTGCTCGATGGGCGTTGCACATGCATGTTGCATATTATTACAATATATTATTACATAATAATATGATGTATACGAGTATCGTTATCGTCATTATTATCATTGTTGTACAGCGACGGCTAGGGTAGTAAAGTTTTACGACGACTCGAACGATAATCCGCCGAAAAATATAAAAAAAAAAAATAAAAAAAAAAAAAAAAAAAGGTATACAGGGTGATCAGGAAAGCGATAACGATTAAATATATTACGGCGTCTTCCGACGAAAAAAAGCAAACTCGCATACCTACACCTATTACTTACACGCACATATATTTATATGTTTTCATTACCTTAACCGTTAATATTTTTACCGTCTCCGTTTAACCTCAAACGTATTCGTTGCGTACATGAGTGCATGTGCATATTATGGAGGTGCACGCCCCGCACGACAAAACTACCGATCGCTTGTAATATATAATAATAGTTGCAAGTACCTATGTTTCGCTCTTTCTCGATAAAGATTATTAATAAAAAAAACGGTTGTCCTCGATGTGTTGCACCGTTCGAATTTCGATGATAAATCCCAAACGGCAATATAATATTTAGTATTAATTAATACGCCCTCCATTGTGCTATGCATTGGTTTATATAAATGTATACCCAACACGTCCAATATTATTTGTTTTAATCCGAAATTGTGGTGGTTGATTGTGGTGGAAGCAGAGAGCCAGGTTCGCCTAATCGAAAGCATAAAAAAAAACCACAATTTTATTTGGATAAGCTCAGTCCGAATCCTGAGCGGTAATGACGGGGTCGAACCCAGCAAAAAATCACCCCCTTCCTACGACAATCGCGAAAACAAGGTCTATATAAATATTATGTTTTGGTCAGGTTAGTCTTAGACCAGAGGTTTCAACCTAAATATCGTCGTACCACTTACACTGTAGTTTGAAAATGTTCATTTACCTCTCAGATAACCAATTTTTTTTGTTCGTCAAAAATGCGTCCGTTACCCTACACGCGTGCAATTTTATTTCATTTTATAACTACGAAGTTATCACAATATAGGCATAATAATGCACGAAAATAGAATGAAATAAAGTGTACAATTGTCATTTATATCGAATAAACCAAACACTATTTAATATGAATCCATTGACCATTCATTTTTTTTTGTAAAGAGATTTTCTTTGCGTATCGCAGGTTAAAAATAGTTGTCTTAGAAGTCAAAATACAACCGTCGGTCTTATGATACAGTTTAGTTATAATAATTGCGGTTCATCCTTAATGTGGTTTGATCAACGGCGGCCGTCACAGACTGGGAAAACAAAACCGTGTTGAAATTTACGCTTTTATAATATTTTCATAAAATACATTATATTATTATATTTAATATTTATTACTTAATACATACAAATTGTACATATACGTCTTTTAGAATACTCGGGATACATGCACTTATAGACCATAATATACTGTATTCTCACGATGACATATTTTTAAAATGCAAATCGTTATAATTATAGTAGGTACTATACGATACGACGTGTATTTATTATACAATACGATCGGATTGCAATTCATGTCATCGTCCACCCTTTTTCGAGTAATTTTCACAATAATAATAATAATAATAATATAAGACAGGCAAAATCTGTTTTCTCACGACCCGCCAATACCACACGGCTATCATACATATACCGAGGTAACCGTAGGTACCTATTCGCAGCTCACAGAAACTCGCATATATTATATATATATATTGTATAATATAAATAATAATAATAATAATAATAATAATATGTGGAGCGATGTATAACACACAATAAGACCGGTGGCGCGTCCGAACGGAATCGTATAAAATATAAATATTTAAATATTATTCAAATGTGCCGACTGCGAGTTAAAAAAATTGCGGACGGGTGTCAAAAGGCATACCGTGGCATAAGAGTAGGCACCACACCTTTTTTTGCCATCTAATCCTTTTCGTTTTCGTTTTCGTTTTTTTCACCTTTATCACGCCGCGAGCGGCGCTCGCAATATATGCAAATGTGCTGCCTCCGATGTGTGTGACGACGACGACGACAGTAGAAGGTTCGCAGTTCCCACACGTAGGTATATACACTGCGATCGCGGAGGCAACAAAGGCGACGCCACACGCGTATAATATGTAAAATAGTTCACCTCTTTTAATGTGTGCATAATAGGTATATTGTATTATATCGTGCGTCTTTTCGAATAGAATTTTCCTTTTTATTATCGCCGCCCCGCGCCGGCGTGGATGCATTTAGATATTCGCATCTATAATTATAATAATTTATAGCATTATATATTATCGCGGTGCACTCGCGGCGGCCGATATATTGTAGCTACATGCAGGTATCTATGTGTATATTATGCAAATAATATCTCGTCTTTGCGGGTACACATTCCCAGCTGCGTATATATTCCCGAGGTGAATTCCCTGCAAATATTAATATACATTACATTGTGTGTGAATTTTTTTCCACCGCCATACTTGGGAGACATTACACCATAAGACGTATAGTCCTGCAAGGAGGGAGTTGAAATTGTGAACAGCTATAAAATGTGTTTTAAGCTTGAATTCGAATTTTGATTTTAGTATATTAGGATTGACGATATAATATCGAGTACTCTGATCTTTGTTATATTATTTTTTTTAAAAATGTATGGCATCAACCGAAATTAAAAAAAAGTGGGGTTGGCAAAAAAAAGGTCCATACGAGTATATGTTTGATATAAGACAAGCTTTGCTCGCACGCAATCCCCGCTAAATCTGTTCTTTATCTTCTGCAGCTACTATACGACTTGTATTTTTAAAATTTTTTCCACCTATCTTACGTCAGATTGTACACGTGAAATGCGCGCATGTCGTCCACTCGTTTATAAATATTATAATTTACACAACGAGCATTTTTTTTTAGGTTACTAATAATATACTCACAAATATTTCCAATTGTACACCTAGGTATTATTATACACACATGATATGATATTATATATTATAATATACGTTAGATCGTAGACTGTAGATTGAAATTAAAAAAACTTCCCTTCTTTCATCACGCGATCACTTTCTCAATTATTGAAGGAAGTTACGTTATATTTATCTATATATTTATGTGTGAATTATACGCATTGCGGTAGAACACATTCTATCGCAGGTATAACAATATGAGCTCAATATTATGTATAATATTAGGATAGTAAAATCATAATAGGTGAATTATTTTACTGTCGAAAACTCGTCCCTCAAAACATCGACCCCTGCACATATTATAATCTGCGTACGATGATACCCATATCGGCTGCATACGTCAAACTGCAACAATATTTTTTACGAATTGCGTTCTTGTTATTTTTTTCTGGTCATAATATAATCGAGTGCCGATTTTTTATGTACATACGAGTTGGGTCCTTTTGAATATGAATGTGAAACAATATTTCCCTTACAATTTTAAAATAGACTGTCTTTAGAAATTATTGCGATTTATTGATTTGTGATTGTTATGAATAAAAACAATATTATAGTATAGACATAGGTAAAAATTGTAAAGATTTAATTTTTTTTATTTAACTGTCTTATGAACATTAGAATCTACTAATTTATTGATGATCTGTAATTGCGTGTTTCAAAATGTTTCTTTATTCAATCGAGTTGTTGCACCTTGCACGGTTGTTTAAACGAGTGCTTCGTTGTTCAATATACATATAAGTTTGTAATCGCCAGGTGGTTATGGGAAGCAATTCGAACGTGTTCAAGAAAAACGTGGGACGCAATACTAGTATTATACCTTTCCATACCTACTTTATTTGTTTATTTGCTTAAAATCCTGTGAAGACTCAAGTACAAATAAGATTACATTACTTAACGGTTAGTATATATAGTTAAGTAAAAATAACATATATTAATATTAAACTAATCAATTAGGTATTAAAATTTGCAATAAAATAAAATGATAAATGAAAAAAGAAATATAAAGGTTCATAAGTTTATCGTTTAAGAGATGCGATGCGATCGATTGGGCTATTAAAATATTATGATTTTTATTCAGTGGCGTCTTATAGAGGCAGGACAGGAACGAGACAAAAGTATTGAGGGACCTGGGACATATACAACTGTACTAGATCCAGAAGCTCAGGACAAGGTGTAGTTTCATTTATCAGTTTGGTCATGAATCAAATATCATTGCGTCGCGCGTCGTCTTTTGTCCAGGCATTCCAAGTGGAGGCTCTCTTGAATTATACAGTTAAAGGTATAGATAAGGATGGACTATGGAGAAAGGTCACCAGTAATACGTTGACGCTTGCAGCCAATATATCGTAGACATTTTCTTTGAACACGTTTAGTCAAACCTATTTACATCGTTTACATCCGATTCCATCATAGTATACCGAGCTATATACGGTGGAACCTCGGTATCTCGACCGAAAAAAGGAAGATATTCCACCTATCAAAACTTCGAGTTGCCGCGGTAATTAAAAATATACGGACAAATGATCGGGTGTAAAAAAAAAATTCGATGTACAGAAACCTTCGGTTATACCGAGGTGTCGCTGTACTATTTGTATTTCAAACTATGATCATTCGGCTGTGGACGTTACATTTTACACACGGTGTATACAGTGCACGGTATGCCTATATCGTATGCACATAGTATAATAATATGGCCAACATGGGTATACCGTATATACTCGTTCGCATCTCAATATTCGTTGTATTTAAATTATTCTTCGTCGTTCGGTGTACCTACATATACATGTATAATAATAATATATGCGCTGAGCCGTTCGAATTTACAATATTATTACAATATGACCTCGTGCACGACCATGGCTCACATACTAGGTATACTTACTGGTATATGCTCATAACTTCGTGTTTACGGTATATTTTACACAACGAAATATTGTTAGGTTGTTATTGTTGTCGTTAGTATCATCATCGTTGTAATTGTATGAATGAACACCGAATGATTTCGTTTTGTTTTCGCTAAAAATACCGCAAGAAACCTATATACGGTTAGCGCGTGATGGTGTGCGCGGGGACGATATATTATCATCTGCCGAATATAACATGGTAATAATTTACTTATTCGTCGACGGACGCCGTTTTATAATATGTTTATTCTGTCAATTTTTCAAACATTCCCGGCGAGATTCGATTTATTTCCATCATTTTTTTTTCTTTTCATTTCCTCGCGTTAACGACTTCCGGACGACGCCGCCAACCACGTTTATAATAAACACCGTCGTCGTTATCGCGGACGCCTGGTAATTCCGGGAAAGCTTCTATATACCATTTGTGGAAAAAACTCCTCTCCCCCCGGACCATTTGATGCGCGCCTCCGCCGGAGATGATCTATATACGAAGATTTCCACGCGGCATGGGACGTGGCGGACTGCGTGGAAGAAAATATGATCCAAACCGCGGGTTATGTACGACGATCTACTGGACTAGAACAAAAAAACCACCCCCGAAACGAAATGCGTACACCACCGGCACCCCTCGCCCGTTTATCGTTCGTCGCGACGTCGACGGCACGGTATATAGACTTAAGCGTTATTAATCCGTCGGGAGGACGTCTCGAAGATTTTTGCGCGACGACGAAAATATCATAACTCGAGCTCGTTTCGCTGGGCGGTGAGACGGGCCATAAAAAAAAATATATCATCGGCGGCGGTTCTGCAGAGACCTGCAGCAGCAGCACACCCGACGATTTATGTCTCTGCACATTCGCACCCCAAGACATTACGGCCATAATGTAGATTTGTAGTCTCTATATTATTATATTATATTCGCGCGCCAGCACACACACACACACACACACACACACACGCGCGCGCGCGCATGTGTATATGTGTACGTGTACGTGTGTGTGTGTGTGTGTGTACAATACATATTTTCGGTCGCCCTTTTCGGCGACGGTCCTCGGTCTCGCAAACGACATTCCCCTATATCCATGACCTCACCCCCGCCGAAAAATTGATATAACCTTCCGTTAATATCTAATGCACTATATTATAATATATTATGTACATCGCACGCGACTGGCGACGACGACTACGACAATTGCGGAATTATGATTCAGCTAGCGCTGCAGACCATTGCGATTTTGATATTGACATATTGTATGTAAAATATTGTTGTTGCGTGAGGTGAGCGACAACGACCGTGTGAGTCTTCTCGGACGTATTGGATTGTAGAAGATTGGCTTTGCGGAAAAAAATAGTTTTTGTTTTTGCTTGCCGACCAACACTTGATTAAATATTAAAATATCGTCGGACGTATTTTTCTTCACATGTGCGTGTAGATACATGTTTTGTTTTGGCCGTAATAGTACAAAATCATCTAGTGTTTATGCAAAGAATGCAGATCACCCAGAATAAATTGTCTACTTTGTATTTCGTTACAAGAAAATGATGTTACGACGACCAGAGCAAAACATTTATTTTTTAAACATAAAAATATACATATTATGTCATATAGACCTGACGTCGATGAATCGATTCCTAATCAAATATTATGGGTATTGGGTAGGTACCCACCCTTTGGCCTTTTTGGTTCGATTTCATTTCCTGCAGGACGAATATCGAGTGTTCACCCTGTAAGTGTATCGATTACTGTATAAGTATTACGATATTGATCCCGGTCGGGGTACATGTACATAATACACGAAATTTATCGAAAACGAAAAGCGCGCGATTATCGTTTACCAGCAGCGATTCTCATACTGTTGTACGACCGATCACAGGATTTCAATGTAACTGCACATGATAATATACAGTGCAGTAGCCACGTGATTATTAAATGGGGGGGGGGGGAGTTAAGTATAAATGACACCAAGTTTTTTATAGTTTTCGTATCTAAATAACACCACATTTACCAGGGGGGAAATATCAGTTGGGGGGTTTAAACACCCGCAGGCTCTTTCACTGATATTATAATATTATACGAGTGCGTATCGTTTGCGATTTTCTTCACCGCTGCGCCGCACGTCAAATATTAATAAAGAAATTACATTTTTATTGTTACGCGAACGTGGAAAGTGAAAAAAATGCCGAGCTGGAGGTAACAACAATAATAAATATAAGACACAATATAGTCGACACTAAATTATAAATTATAAATTTATAACAATAGGTCTCTCGCGGGTATGCCGAATATCGCGCTCTCGCACCTGCATCGCTCGGTTCACATAATAATATAATAAAATATTATACTTGGGTCTCGACACTTTCGAGAGCACCCTGTATAATAGGTATGAAATATCGTACACAATACCTTTCCACATATGTATAGGTATATATACACGCGGATAATGCGCGCGTAATAATAACAATAATAATAATAATAATAATAAAACACCGTAACACTACAACAACACTCTGCACGCAGTATAATGTTATGTGTACTGCAGCTACGAGGGCATGCGCACATAATATTAAAATAATAATAATAATAATAATAATATTAATAATGAGAAAACCCGCGACGGCACGCACACTCGCGCGGGAAGCGGAGTCGGAACGAGCTCCAGCCAGCCATAGAGGTCAAGGGTGTTTCGAAAAACAGTTATAAACGTCGAAGTCTCTCGGCTCGCTGCGCCGCATATTATAATGATGATATGTGTGCACAAAATAAATAACAGCATAACATAATACACACACACACACACACACACACACAACGTCTCGCAGTAAATGACACACACCAGCGTAGTGCGTACACGATTATGGGGTAAATGAAAAAAAAAAAAAAACAATATACGACGATAATAACAAGAAGTATACGTAGAAGAAACTCGAGTAATAATAAGCTTACGAGCCCGCGGGTCTACGCCTCGGGCACGCATCGGTCGGTATACAGAGCGCACGCACTCGTCGCGTATATGACACGACGTGTACGACACTGTACCCACCCGTGCTATGTGTATATATAGCGCGTGTCCATTGTTGTTGACGTCGGTGGTTCACAAAAGTACAATGTATATGTGCGTATATACGTGTGTGTGTGTGTGTGTGTGTGTGTGTGTCAGTTGAACCGTGATGTGTAGCTCGCGCCACACAATATCATCACGATCGAACCGTCCGTATCATGACACAATATTCGTGTACGCGTGCGGGCACAGGGCCGTTGGCGGTCTTAAATTATATCATGTGTACATAGAGGTACAACTACGCGAGACCGGAGAAAATATCGAGTTTTTCGTTAGCGCGCTTTGCGGTGGAGTGGACCTACGGTAGAGTAACGAAATTACGACGAGGACGCCACACGTGTAATAACGACTATCGTCTATTTGTGAGTGGGGGCGTGGGGGTGGGGGGGGGAGGGAGATGTGTGATTTCCTGCGGCGATAAACGCGGACAGACGTCGGATTGTAGGTTGCGATCCGTATCGCATAGATGTGTGATGGCTGTTATTATTGTTGTTATTGTTGTTACTGTCGTCAGGTGCGGGCAACACAAATTGTATAGCACTAATCATACGTTTTGCGGGGTCGTGCAATCAGCACCGAGTAAATTGGACCCGTTTCAATTATATATAACCAGGCAACAGAAATATTTGGGTCGTGGGTAGGCGGATCGTGGGACTGCCAGGATCGTCGGCCTCGAATCCAAAATTATCTACTTACCCAGCACCCTGCAACTGTAATGACGAAAAATTCGAAATTTCCCGCCCAAATCTCACTCTGCGAGAATTTATGCGCACTGGCTAGATCGGTTCTGATCACGAAATTTCTCATCATCATACTTTAAATTTGTAAACGTTGGCGTTAATTGATTTTTAACAAACCGATGGATTAAAATTAAAATATTTAAAATGCTTGGTTTTCAATCTTAAAGTGTAGAATATGATTACTAGCTGACCCAGTGCACTTCGTTGCCCGTTAAAATGTCAACTCTATTTGAGTTCAACTTTTTTTAACTGTGTTCAACACTTGAAAATGTTCTACTATTTCTATTATAATCTGTGACCAATGATAAGAATTATTTATAAACAAAAAATTCAATTTCCATCGACTATCGTGGTTCTCAAAATACTTATACAAGCACCACTTTAAAATACCGATTTCGGAAAATCTTCTGTCATTGCACATCCATTTCATTCAAGGAACCAATAAACAAAGTTTTAAGTTTGTATGTTTTGTAGTTTTTGAGATGTAGCGATCAGTGAGTGAGTGGTATTTGACATATAAAATATGTTTTCACATATTATTATATTTGTTTTTAGACAACCTCATTTAACGTAGATACGCTAAATTGTTACGCTTTCCTCTTTACGTTGTATGTTCGCAACTGTAAATTTCAATATTTTTTTGTAATATGTAACTCTTTACTTCAACGTAGCTTCTGCTCGAAGGAAGTGAGCAAGTATTACAGGAAGTCTGACAAGTTATTATTTTGTTTAAATAAAAGAAACTTATCATATACTTAAGTCCAAACAGGAATCCTTAGCTTTAACTTGGGGAGGGGGGGACTCTACTCACGTTAAGTTAGCCCCTCTACTGCACCACCACAAAACTTTCAAAATATTAGTAACCCAATTTTTTTGTAATTTGTAACTTTGAGGGACCAACTTCACCCGGCGAGCACTTTACCCCACATCGATCAAATCGATGGAATAATTAAATTAATAGTTTTTCTGTTAACTTGTAACGAACAGTATATAAGTCTTACAACCCATATTACGTATATATAAATATAGGGACAATAACATTCGTGTCTCGTCGTCGCATCTACCCCTATATATAGGCAGGTACGATAGAAGCATTTGCGCGCATTATTTTGACCGTTTACACCTTTTACTATTTACCATCACGACTTCAACAATAACAACAGTTTAATGGGTACCTATATTATAATAACAATTAATCGGGAAATTCTCGTATCATATGCGCTCGGCGGTTTCTGCATTATGCTGCAGCTACACACGGCCCGCGGGCGCGAATTAACGTTTTTTATTTTTTTTCCAAATGCACAACGCCTATGCGTGCCCACCCATATATACCTACACGTATATAATACGATTAGGTACCGCAGCTATCCTCGGTAATATAACCCTGCCGCAGGGCGTTACCGGCCCCGGCGGGTTATAATGGTACACAATAATATTATATGTAGACGGCGATAAATTACCGACCCGCCGATAACAATATTTTATTATTATTATTTTATCGGATATGCGCGCACACACATAATAATAATCACCTTTTCAATGATATTATTATACTATCGACTCGTCCACGAGTCACTAGTATATTACCACGACCGCGACGTCGCCGTCGTTGCAACGTGTGTACATATAATATTCGTAAATTATATATGTATATGCTAATGCCGTCGTACACAAAATACGATCAGTGAGTGTGTGCAGACTACAGAAGAGGAGGAGGAGGTTCTCGCGTGCATGACAATGGTCGTAGGTACCTATAATACCCGGGTAACAATGCGCGATGGGTTTAAAGACGAAACCGTTGACAGTATACCCAGGTATATAATAATAATACGTCTACCCGCGTGTCCAATTTCGGGACGCGTTCTATCTCGTTTGGTCGTCGTCGCAGTCGTTGTGTATGCCTACATTATTATATATAGGGGTGGCGTGTGTGTGTGTGTGTGTGT